AATTTTAATTATCATTTTTGTGATGAATTTTACAGCTAAAAAAATCTTATGATTACATAAAACATAAACTGAAAATAAAAATGTTGGTACTTACTCTTTAGATAGAACATAAATTATGCTCAATTAACAAATTGAGATAGTATTAGTAAATTTAATGGTTCGGAGTCCTTATAAATATGGACATGAAACCATAATCTAAACACTACAAATTTTCGCGCATCCGCCGCACTCACGGTGCAAATCGGCTAGCCCTCTGCCCGCTTCAGTCCCGACGACCCTCTGCTGCCCGCTTCAGCCCCGACGACCCTCTGCTACCCTCAAGTTCAGGTATTCATGGCTAAATCTCTGAATATTTGAATGTTTTTTCTTCACGGGTGGCTAAATTTGAGTAAGTGTTTGCAAAACACGAATAATTGAAAGGGGGATCTGCTGCTGTTGTTTGTCGGAAATTGCAGATATGGAAGTAGTCTCAAACACCACCAATCTAATTCCCGATATCGAAGGTGAGCCACACGCTCCCTGCAATGGCAATTTGATGCTTCTGGTGCAGCATGCTTGCAATGGAACCCTCGACTGCTCAGTAATCGCAGCCGAAGACAACACGTTCAAAGTGCTGCAAGATGACGATGATAATCTTCCAAACGTGTCTCTACTCAAAGTCGACAACTACGATCTCTTGAATAAGAGGGCCGATTATGATGTTGTAGCGAGTTGCGACTCATGGATGCTGTTGCAATGTAAGAGAAATCCTGAATCTCCATGGGACTTACTGTGGGACCCCACAACCGACGAGAGAAAATCCCTTCCGTGTTTTTCTTTGGCTTCTCCTCGTATGACGCACATATGGGCATACGGCTTTGGGTTTGATCCACAAGGGGGCTATAAGGTGGTCAGATGTCGCGCCAGAGACCTTTATACTGACGAAGCGAAGCTCTACATTGAGCTGTGGTCGCTTGCAAGTGGTTCGTGTAGGAAAATTCCGCGTCCTCCTTACTTGTTCCTCGATACTATTCCTTCTCAATCACCATCTGTTCACATCAATGGCTTTTATTATTGGTACAGTGTGGATGGCATTATTTCGTTCGACTTCGCTAAAGAGGAGTTTAGCCCTGCTCTAATCCCTAAGCCCAAGATCTCCAGGGGAACTGTTAATCTTGTTGAGTTTGATGGGTCGCTTGCTGTAATTGTTTTCGAGTATGGTAAATGGTGGACGGAAAGAAACAGATTGTGTGCTGCTGATGCTGCTAAGCCTTTTATTTTCGAGCTTTGGGTGTGGAAGGCCCCCAGATGGTCTCACGTGTACACAAGGGAAGTCCCGGCTGCAGCCGATGTTTTTGGCGTAATAGGCCTATACAGGAACGATAAGCTGCTTCTTCGGAGCCACTATGGTGACCTACTGCTTTACGAGATTGAGGAGAAGAGATGGAAGAAACTCGGCATCCGTGACGAGGTTATGGCTCTGAAGGTCTTCCCATATGTTGCCAACGCCGAATCCAAATTGAGATCCCCAATAAATCTCCCATCTGGTGCCAGTAACGTAGTCGCTAGTGTTCCTGCTACTATTCGGACGCTCACCCGCAACTTGGAGCATAAGAACTACAACAACAATAATCTTATGCTTATGGTGCATTGTGTACTCAATTGGACCCGCAATTACTTTGTGCTGTCAACAGAAAACAAATTGTTCAAAGTTGTACAAGATGAGAACAGCCTTCCTAACTTGTCTCTACTCAAAGCGCAAAACTACGATCCTGTTTGTATGAATGCCAAGTATCACGTTCAAGCGAGTTGCAACACTTGGATGCTGTGGACATGTGTCGAGAATATCGCAAGTCCGGTGGAGCTTCTGTGGGACCCTAGGACCGACATGCTCGTAACCCTTCCTTTTTTTGAGGCTGTGCCGCTCATTCCTCGCCCAATTTACACGACCATGTGGGGTTACGGTATCGGGTATGCATCGGGAGAATATAAGGTAGTCAGATGTCATGTGTTTGAGTATTTTCGTTCCAACCGCGAAGTCCACGGGGAGCTGTTCTCGCTCGAAACTTGTTCGTGGAAGGAAATTCCGTATCCCCATGATCCCCAGCTCGAAGCCTATCAGCATCCTTCGCTTCACATCAATGGCTTTTACTATTGGGTAGCAGTGCACGCCACCCAACCGTATCTTGCTGTTATTTCATTCGACTTTGCTAATGAGGAGTTTCCTCATGCTCTCATCCCTGTGCCGGAGAGCAAAATTCTCAGGGACATCAAGTTCAAGTTTGGCTGTGTTTCTCTTGCCGAGTTTCAAGGGTCGCTGGCCGCTATTGTTTTTGATTATTATGGACAGATAAAGAAAAGTTCAAGTAGTTTTTGTGATTGTGCAGGGCAGAGAAAGAAGTTGAAGAAGACTAGTAACGCCGAGCCTTTTATTTTCGAGATATGGGTATGGAATGAGGGCATGTGGTCCCATGAATCCACACACAGTGTCGTCACTCCTCATGTTCATGCTGGTGTTGTTTATATCAGGGTCGTGGGGCTCTACAAGGATGATAAAGCATTTATTCAGGACTCGGGGGGTTACCTATGGCTTTATGATTGCGTGACGCAAGATTTGGAGCGTTTCGGCGGCATCTGTGACGATACTTGTGCTCTGGTAGTCTACCCTTATGTGTGACTGTGAGAGTGATCATATCTATATATATGCATTAGGGAAGTAAGTGTTAAGTGTTGAAGCAAGATTCTTTCTCATTTTTCTAATAATCTTTGTTCCCGTTCGTTTTATCAATAAGTAATCTAAGCTCATGCATTTTAGTTTTTTTTTTTTCTTTTTTTGCTAGTGATATAATATATGCATAAAAATAAAATTGCATGCAGAACAGGGAATTCCAAGTAGGAGATCGGGTTTTGTTATGACTACACCTTTTAGACAGAACACACTGGCACTTAGAAGAAATCTAAAATTAACATCAAGTAATTTGGCCCCTACTCTGTGTTGGTGATTGGGAAAGTTGCATACAGGTTTGACTTACCTGAGGGGTATGAGGTTCACCCTGTGTTCAATGTATCTTTGTTGAAGCGTCTTCAACTCCTATTTCATATGTAGCGGTGATGGAGACGAGATACCGTTTAATGTCATTGGTTTATGATATGGGCCCCGCCCTCGTCATCTGTCATTCATGTTTGTTGCCACTTGTGTTGTGGAACGTGGAGGAAAATGTTAATTGGTCGTCTTCTAGAAAAAATATTGTTGTTGTTTATGGATATATGCCTGCCCTGGCGACGACGATATTCGAGAATAAGTTCAATGCTTCACTAGAGCTTGGGACGGGCCCATACAATACAATTAGGAAAAATTCAAAAGAGAGATTTACATGTTTGACTGATTTTGGGAATTTACCTGGTGACGTGACTTTGTGGGATTATTTGGCGATGAAAAAATTAGGACAAACAAAAGTCCAACTATCATTGTCAAGTAAATGGTCACCAGATGGACGATATTTTTTTACTACCACCAAAGGTCCAAAACTCTAAGACTGCAGGTCGACAATGGGATCGTAATATTTTTCCAAAATAGCTCAACTGTAATGGATCTATTTCACAGTAGTCGTGCATGGGTATGGTCTCACCAGTTGAAGATGAGATTGTATAGGATTCGAGAGGGAATCCTTTTCGACAGGGAAAGAATGATGGGGACGAGATATCGTCTAGCATCATTGATTTAGGATATCTATTTATTTCCATTTATCTTTATTATTATTTCATTTATGTTTAGTATTTAATCAATTAATTGGTAGGAAAATAATTATTTATTAGCTTGCCTAAGAGACAAGTTATATTAGAGTTCTAACAGCCTTATTTAAAGGATTCACTCTTGGATGTTAGGCAGGCTATTATTGAAATAAAATACATCGTTTGAGATTGAATTCTCTTTTATCTTCTCCCACCCGTATTCTTCTGTACATCAAGTGGTCACTGTTTTAAAAGGTGTATAGCATCGTATTTTGATTATTGTATTATGTAGCGAAAGTAGTGTTGCTTATATATATTCATATATTACAAAACCTAGAATTTAAGTCATATAAGAAGGTTTCATACAAAACAATTAAATCTAAACGATAATATTCAAGTGTTATTTCTTAATTCTTACAAATATTTAACAAAAATGTCATAATATGATTATTAAACAATTAAATTCAATTTAATTTAATCTAAATTATCAAATCAACTTTATGAGGTATTAATGTAATCTAAAAAAATTAATGTAAATGTAATATCAAATATTTTAATTTCAATTATTGCTTAAACCATGAGCTTAAAAAATTCTTTTGGCACTTTAGCATGAATACAATGCAAACTAGCGTATAAAAAATATAAAATCGCATAAAATAGTACAACGTAATGTGTCATGTAAGCATTTAGAGACTTTTTGGACATAATGCAAAATTACAAACGCTATGTCCCGCTTTTGTGTTGTATGCGTTGTGACGAGCTATATTGGGCTTTTCAGAACACTGGTGAGAGCTAACCTATCTCCCACATATGAGATGAATCGTTCGTGGTCGCGTCATATGTGTATTATCTAGGAGTTAAGTGCACTGCAACGACAAGGCGCTCGAGCAAACTTTGATCTAATGGAAAAAATGACGACACAATTTTGAAGACAAAATAACCAAACCGAAAGAAATAATGACACGCAAATCATTATTAACCTAACTGAATCAAATTATTTCTGTTATTCGGGCCAGTTCGATTTTTAAGTTTTTTGGTTTTAAAAACCCGACGCAACCCGAAACTACCCGACCCGAATTGGCTCATTACAATCCCTAATTACAAGCTAACTTTACAGTTTTACCCTTTCATTTGCTGTTCCCAAACCATTTTACTCCGGTTAGGTTCGGTTTGGTTCGGTTTTCTAACCCGGATCCGTTCTTTTTGGCACTACCCAGGAACCTAAACCCTAAACCCTGCTTCACCTTTGATTGATCGCACAGTAACCCGCAAAAGGTAGCAGAAGAAAAATGAGCGGAACACCTGATTTCTTCTACAGAGAAGCCCAGCGCCTCGGCTATGTTGCTCGCTCTGCCTTCAAGGTCCCTCTTTCTCTACATAGTCTTTTACGCGCACATGAACAGCGGTGGATTGTAAATTTTGCTAACACTTTGTTGGAATTTGAAATGGGTAATGCAGTTGAGTCAGATGCAGAAGCAGTACAAAATCATAACCCCAGGATCTTCTGTTCTCGATCTTGGTTGTGCTCCTGGTGCTTGGCTTCAGGTAAAAATCTCGATCTTTTTACAGTGATTTTTTACTTTCCTCTGTGCTTGGTTTTTGATTTATAAGTTTATACGATTGATCATCAGCAGCCCTTGTATGGGGGTACTCTGAGGAGAAGAGTGGTATCTGATGATCTGAGGGGTTAAATTAGAAGTCCGTGAAAATTATTTTTATTTAACTGCTGTTGTGTGGTAATCAATCCAGGTGGCCTGTCAGAATTTGGGACCTTCGGAAAAGGGCGGAGTAGTTGTTGGAGTTGATGTTAAGGTAATTCCTTGGGTACCGATACTCTGTAAAAATTTGTAGGTTACTGACGAATGAGGCTTCGGCTGGGTGTTTCCTTTGAAGACACTGGTTGAGTTAGTTTTATGCTGGAAAATATAATTAAATTATAATTTTACGTTTATTATTGATTGATGCATGGTGTGATGCAGAGCAGAAGGTGAAGGTCCCATCCAAGTATTGTGATGCAAGGGTTAAAACAGTTTGTGCTGATGTGTTGAAACTAACAAGAGACCACGTTAGAGCACTCTCTCCTCAGGTAGATAACTCTTTAGGTTTTTGCGTGGATGCAAATTATGTATAGATTTCATTTGATTCTTATGATGCCGAGATCATTCCTTTTGCATTGGCCAACTTTGGTTGAGTTTTTGCTCTTCGTAGGAAAAGAGATGTAGAGTGGGATTGGGATGACATTCTTTTATAGTTTTCTATGGGAAAAGAGGCATAAATTTGCTTATGTCTTTTTTACTTGTGGGGTGTTAGTTGCAGATTTGGAGCTTCTTTAAGACCTCCTGAGATACAATTAGGCTTGAGTTACTTTACGATGGAGTTTTTATTTAATACGTTATACCACCTTAGATATTCACATGACACATGCTTAAGATATATATAGTAATGGTGGCATGAAGGTTTGCTTGAATAGTATAGCCTGAAAGGATGATATTCTTATTTTAAAAAACATTCTTGTTTTCTCATAATCAGATTTAACATCTGGTGGAGTTTGTAATCATCCCCAAGTCTCTGTAAGCTCTTTTTGGTAGATTTTGTTATTATCCGTTTGAATTTTTTTTTTTAATTATCTTGCTTCGGTATCTTAAATTTTATGCCTCTTCACAAGTAAGATATCATTTTAAAGAATCACTTACTGATGCATTGAGGTTGATCTTCTGTTGCTTGATATTTGTAGGAAAAAGGATTTAGCGTCATACTCTCTGATATGTGCCCGTTAGTATCTGGAATCACAAGTAGAGATGCAGCTTTTTCTGCCCAACTCGGGATGCGAGCCCTTGATCTGGCAGTCGGGAGGGCTGCTGTTGCCCTTGACTGCACAGACACTAATAATAGCATTAATAATTTGTTATCTGTGGAAGTGGAATCAGATAGTTCATGCTCGGCTTCGAATGCCAATGGTGTGCTTCGAACAGGAGGCCACCTTATCATTAAGCTTCTTGAAAGTGAAGACGTAAAAGGTGTTGATTCTCTTGAAGTTCTATTTTTTTTTCTAGTTATATACTATTAGTTCTGCACACCAGCCCACGGTGGGCAGTGCCCACCACTTTATTTTACATGAAAAACGTATTCTGAGAATACGT